GTGCCCCACTCTCCCCCACTTGTGTTCCCCATTGGGTTATGTATTCTGTAACCCCACCTTGTGCTCCTCCCCTAAGTCTTCCCTATCGGTTTATTATTTGTACACTCCCCTTGCTCCTTCCCCACACATAAGTTGCTGTACCCCTGTATCTTTTGTCTTTACTTCCTGGAACCTTCAAGAGAGTAAATCCCTTTTGGAGGCCACATGGAAGACCTCTCCCTCATCCTTGTTCCTGCCCTCGACGCTGTACAGCCAGTGCCGTAGGGCATAAACCCTAAGTTACCCTGCTTTCGAGGAGCAGCCCACTCTTGGCTCGGTGCCTGGAGCTGGCTGGGGAAAAAATCCAGCTTTGTGTAGAACCGTAAAAAAATCCCCAAATTATCTGTTTTCAAGATTTTCTCTCCTTTCCATACTAAATACATGCTTCTTTTCTCTGTTAGGAAAACTGAATTGCAGTATGTACTCCTCTTCAAATATCCAGGGCTGTGCCCTGTCCTTCCATTTGAAATGTGGGGATCCTATTTTTTTGGTATCTTGGGAAGCACACTGTGGAAGACACTGGAATAGGTCTTAAAACTGGAAAGCATGTGGGCAGTTTGAGCTAGCACCAGTTTAGCATTTGTGAAACAAAATTTGATGACAGACTTGAGGGACAAGATGTCACCCTTGAGAACTGTTTGATGTATGCAATTTCCTACAACAGGAATTCTGTAGCAAATTATGAGTGAAAAATGGCTAAGAAAACTGATCTGGAATACAGAGTTCCAAAACATTTCTTCCACAAATACTAACTTTTTCACAGTTTTTTTTAATAATATTTTTAAATTTGAAAATTTATTTTTCAGAAAAAAAACCATTTAGTTTTCCACTGGTCTTTGTACTAGTGAAGATAAAAGTGAAAAGAATTTTAGAGTTATTTTATGCATAACAAAAGTGCATTTTCAATAGAAAGCATTAAAAAACAAAATGGTAAATTTCATGTAATTGCAACTACTATCAATACTTCAAATGGCAAAACCCATTTTTGTTATATTTTGTCATAAGTAACACCATTTCTCTTGCCCCTTACCCATTGTGCCCAGATGAAAGGAATGAAAGGATAATATCAAACTGTGATAAATTTCACTCTTTTTTCCATAGCATATAATTTGCATGTATCTTGTTTTAAGTAGGAGAATGACATGAAATTATCCACCAGCGTGCAACTCCTTGCTCCTCAGTGGCTGAAAACTATGAATATGTCAAAAGCAACTGAAGGGAATCTGCTTAAATACATGTTGGTATCAAGCACAACTTATTTTATATCTATGTGTGTGTGTGTGTGTGTGTGTGTGTGTGTGTGTGTTTCAATACAAGCTGTATATACATTTAACACTGTCTGCTCCATCTGAGTTTTTTTTCCCAGCTGGCTCTCAGCTGTGTGGCTGTGCTGAGGTTGCTGGCAGCCCCATGGCAGACACTCAGCCTGTGTGTAGGTCACAGTGGGCACAGTGCCGCCGTGTCCAGGCAGTGTCCCCAGGGACAGGACTCCTGAGGACACGCGTGGGCGCTGAACGCATGGCACGTGTCTGCCCTCTGTGCTGCAGGACCCCATCAGCTGCTGCAGGCAGCTCATGCTTTGGCAAAGAGAGGTGGAGGCTAAATTTGCCTAAAGGAACCTTCCAGATTTGTTCCCTGGTATACAGCAGAGAATGGGTTTTTCTTAAATGATAGAACTAGGTTCAGTATCGAGAGGTAAAAGAAAAGTAGTCTGTCTGTATATCAAACTTGTGTGAAGCATTAACATTAGACTGAAGTTTTAGATGTAGAAGGAAGAAGTTTTGAACATATGCCCTTTAGAAATGTGTGCAGCAGTGCTGACATTAGCTTAATGGCTTAGTTTGCTTTGAGGATTCCTTACATTTGCCCGTAACATGCTAACATCCTTTCCAGTTTGTTTTTTTCTTTTCTCCAAGTGACTATGAAAAAAAATGCCATCATGTCTCCCATTACGACAGAATACATAAATACCCAATTTCTAATGCACTGTAGCAGTAACTGCCAACTTCTAGTTCAGTTGAGGTGTTGAATGGACAGAAAAAGTTCAAAGAAATGAAAGAATTTTTTCACTCTGTTGTTGCAGAATGACAACTACTACTGACATATCTGGTAAATCCAGTAACCAAATGCCATGTGAAAGTGAAAACTTTTGTATTTTTCATGCTTTAATTCTCAGTGGTATCTTGAATTGATAGTAGCATAGACTCTGTAAGGTTCTATTTTAAAGCCATCAAAATGATACCTTGAATAATTTAATCAAGATATGTATATCACAAGAACACAGCCCTTCACACCCCACATACATTTCTAGTAATGGCTAAAGTAATACTGTACAGCTCAGGATGTGCTCTGGTGTTATCTTACGACATTCCTATGGACTTTGCCTAGACCTACTTTTCAATAACTACCTCCCATGTGTTATGGGCACAGATGAAGAACACAAAATAAGTATTTAATTCTGTTTTTAATTTTAAATTAGATTAGTTTTCATGCTGTTCTGAGTATATTGGTCAGTACTAAATTCTGCAAATAATTTTTGTCAAAATAAAGAAGTAAACACAGTGATAAGGTTCTTAAAATCACTAATTGTCTGCTGGGAACTGAGGCTCTGTCAAGTCATAAAACAGTATCCTCTGACAGATGATTTCTTCTCAGAGATAATGGTCTTGAGCAGTCTGCAGCAGGGGAGAAGGGGGCAGTTAAAATGACACTTTAGAAAAAGAAAAAAAAACAGTAAGAGAAGTACCTTTCATGGAAGACCCTGTGAACTCTTTAAGATGTGTAACCATAATCTTTCCAACAGGGACGTTAAAAAAACATACATCATATTATTTTTCACAAATGCTGATTTTTTAAAGGGTGAGGGTAATCAAAGTGTTTCCTAGCATACTTTCCTCCCTGCTCCCATAGCCAAAAATGCAGGAAAAACTGATACTGTACGCCTTGACAGGTTTACAAAACATAGATCATCAAGAGCTCAAAGCCTCTTAGACTCCTTCAGCCTTATGTGTTTCCTGAGGAAGCATCCCTGAATCTGAGATTTCAGCAGTGTGAAATTCTCAGATGTTAAATTCATGCACAAGGGACCCCTCTACATCAGTGTCTTCAGCAGTCACCAGACTGTGATAAAGATATTTCTGGACAAACATTTGAAGCTGGGACATTTTCAGGTGCAGAGGAGCAACTCAGAGTGAGTGTAAAAAACTATAATACACCATGTGCTCTATCCCCATCCATCCTTCAGACCTAGAGAAGTTTCACATCTAGGCTTTCAACCTGGAACATAAAATTTCTGCCTTTTAGATCATGTTTTAGATACCTGCTGTTTCTGACCTAAGTAAGATACTGCATAAGAAACATGCTGAGTATAAGGTTATTTCAATTCCTTCAAATTAAGTCATTAGATGTCTAGAAAAGGATTTGTAAAAACAGGTTTAACTTCAACTCAGAGACATTTATTTCCCTGGAACTTCTAGAACACTGTGACACTACAGCTGAACTAAAAAATATTCATTAAGGGGGCTTTGAGCCACTCTCAACTTTCACCTATTTCCCCTTAAAATTTAATTAGAAGGAATTTCTAAAGAAAATAGATCCCATTAAGTCACTTTCTTGAAACATTTGGATGCTGTCTTAAGAATTCAGCTAAATGGAAAGATCTGGTTATTTGGTTATACCCTTTTTCTACTTTAAAACCCAGGCAAGCAGAAAATTATGCCCTACATCTGATTCCTGTTTAAAGGAAATACATCCATTCCCAAAATCTTCACCTTTTTAGGATGGCATGACCAAAGTGCATTAAGCTATTTTAAGGTAAACATCTTGCAGCATTAGCTGCATTGCTGAAAGTAAAAGCCTCTTAGTAAAGGCAGCTTCAGACTCTGAGGAGAGTTCCGTAGGAGAACTGCTGACTCAAAGCCTGCTTGATTTGCTGTTTTTGCTAGCAGACAGACTTTCAGCACAAATGCACTCTCTCTGAAATCATGGCTACATACTACATATATAGGTGCTAATTAGATAAAATTATGGATACTCAATTTTTAATGTAAAATGTTAATAGTAACATTTGTTATAGAATTTTTCACAGCTGAGTAGATTTATGCTGACTTAGATATGAATCTAGAGGTACAACCATTATTCATCTCTATCTGTAGTTAAAAAGGAAAAATGTCAGTCATATTTCAGGCTGCAAAAAAATACCTTTTAATACAAAAAATCTTCCCAACATACATTTTAAACCAGTCCTTTATCCAAGCCTAAAAGGTACCTGTAGATTTATTGTTCTGACTACAGTGCAGTTTCTAGATCAAGTCTTGAAGCTGATGTGATGTGATTTGAACTTGGATTTGACCTGTTGTGCATATATGTGAAATGGCTCTACTGCTTAGAGAGGCACATTTATCACAGAGAAAAGCACTTTCAGCCCCAAAAGGACTTAAAATCTCCTGATCTCTCCTCCCATAACTTTCAGAAAGACACAGATACCTGCACATAGCCATGCTTGCTTTTCTGCAGCATTGGTAATTGCAAGTTTTCTTTAACTTTTCTCACATTCAGAAGCAAGCTGTGCAATTACTATCAAAATTGAAGCCAGGGCTGATCAAAATTAATTATGAGCTGTGAGATGGGAGTAATGAAAAAAAGGAAGAACAGAAGAGCAGCAACTGGGCTTTGACATTAAAAATACAAATAACAGGCAAATCTATGTCTTATCCTGACAAGTGAGGCACTCAGCATATCTGTCATTCCTTTCATCATGCAGATGACTTCTCAGTAGCTCTCGACGCATAATACTGCAATCCCATCTTTCCACCAAATTTCTGTAAAAGCTGTCAACTCTTTGTAAAATGCCTAGATAAAAATGATTGAAAAATCATATTTCATAATGACTCTACTTAAGAACTCCATAGCTTTTAAATATTTTCTTGCTTCATTTTACGGTGACTTTCTTCTTTTTAATTAGCATGAAGCCTAGTTACTTTTTACCACGAGACAAAGAGTGCCAAACATAACAGATCTAGGAGACTGGAAAACAAACAGGTGGGAAAATTAATAATAAGTACTTATATTTACACTTGCTATAAAAGAAGTCTTTGTGTTAAGGAAAGAGAGATAATACATGGCATGCCATCTGGTTTGCCTGGAGATGGGACAATGAAATTTTCAGATCACAGCTGGTCCTAGACAAGGCATTATCAACCCAGTGCTAGAACAGAATCAGCCCATGGACGATGAAAAGCAGGGCAAAGCAAGAAAGTGCTTCATCTGGCAGGGCCAGGAAGCAGTGCCATTGGCAGTCACATCTGCAGGTTCAGCTGGAAGACTGGTGTACTCCTTGATTCCCTGTTTTTGTTAAACTTCTGCAGCAGCATCTATGAATTAACACTTCCAGCTACCTCCTGTTAGGTAGGAGACTGCTTCACACTGTTGAACAGAGCAGTACTCAGAAATGTGTGACAGCAGGTACTTACACAATGTTTCCAGCTTGTACAACATGGGCAAAACATCTCTTTGTCATAACAACTCACAGGGAGAAAAGGTTCCTTCCTCTTGGAGTATCAAACTCTACTCGGACACGTCCAACTGTCTGAAGATAGTTATCCAATTTATACTACTCATGCAAGCTTATAGATTCTCTTAAAAATTGAAGGAGTTGCTCATAAGAGCAATTTGGTGTACAGGAATATAGACAACTCGATGGAGAAAAGATGGGACACAGTCTGGAGTTGCCGCTTTCCCCTGGAGAGCTATGAATGACTACATCCCTGGTGCTTACATGCTAGGCAACCCAAGATCCTATTTTACTGCAGTGGCGTCAAGCTAAGGTTTTCAGTTATTATTTTCAGAGTGGTAAATGATGAATCTCATCTTACACAGACTGCAAAAAATTCCAGGTGTTGAGAGGGAAAGTGCTCCATGGGTTCTGTGACACCTTCTACCACAATAGTAAGTAGAAGAGTATGGCTAAACAGTGCCAGTACTGAAGGTGGGAATACTGGTATCAGCAGCTGAACATGAGCCAGCAGTGTGCCAGGTGGCCAAGAAGGCCAATGGCATCCTGGCCTGGCTCAGCAATAGTGTGGCCAGCAGGAGCAGGGCAGGGATTGTCCCCCTGTCCTGGGCACTGGTGAGGCCACACCTGGAGTTGTGTGTCCAGTTCTGGCCCCTCAGTTCAGGAAGGATGTTCAGCACACTCAGAGGAGGCAATGAGGCTGGTGAGGGGCTTGGAACACAAACCCTGTGAGGAACAGCTGAGGCAGCTGGGGTTGTTCAGTCTGGAGAAAAGGAGATTAAGAGGTGACCTTATCACTCTCTACAACTTCCTGAAAGGTGGGTGTAGTCAAGTGGGGGTTGGTCTCTTTCTCCAGGCAGCACCTGACAGAATGAGGGTACACGGTGTTTAGCTCTGCCAAGGGAAATACAGGCTGGATATTAGGAAAAGGTTCTTTATAGAAAGGGAGATAAAATACTGGAATGGTCTACCCAGGGAGGTGGTGGAGTCACCATCCCTGGATGTGTTTATAAAAAGATTGCACTCAGTGCCATGGTTTATGCACCATGGCACCGAGTGCATGGTTGAGGTGTTAGGGCTGGGTTGGATTTGATGGTCATAAATGTCTCTTCCAACCTCGTGATTCTGTGATTCTGTGAAAGAGAGAAAATTCTTTCTCTTGGATGATTTAATGCTGTGGAACAATTTCTGTTAAAAACAGGCAGTGCAGCATCACTACTTTTTAAGTTTGAAACATGTTTTTGACCTTTTCTGTCCTGAGAAGACTACACACCAGAACATATCTTAAAAGAAATTTTTAAAAGCCAAACAAATATAATGAACAAATTACACAAACTCTGAACAAAATCCTCTTTCAAACACAGTTGTCCTGTGGATACTACATGCAAGAGAGCATGTGGAGCACACATGACAAATGTTATTTGTAACACTCAGAAAACTGCTAGAAGGCTCCTGTATATTAAAATAACTCTTAAAGGGTAAAAAATATCACTGAGGGAAACTCTGGCTTTCCTTTTATTTTAGCATTATTTAAAAAAGCTTTATATTGTCTGGATGCTGACCGACCCATGGGTGATTAAAATGCTATCTCCGCTTTTTTGGAGACATCTGGACATTCACATAACAGTAAGTAAATCAAGTTCCAGCCATTCCAGGGGTTCTGCTGTTCTGACAGAGTTTGCTCATTTTAACATTTGATTTGCAGGACTGACAGAAGAATGTATATCCAGCTACAGATAAAAAATTAAAAAATGACCCTCAAACATGGTATCAAATTTTTTTCCATAAAGTATGGGAACATTTTCTGGTATCTTAGCCATTAGTCTCCACATTAGCATGTTTCTGGTTTTAGTAGCATCCATAATGTACATGAACTGAAATTACGGAAAACACAATGGTTACAATTAATTATATGCACAAAAAATTTAAATATTCATTGTCTTTCCTGACTGAGAAACCACCCACTACCATATATTCAGGTAGAGGAAGCTTGAGCATTTTATCTGAAAGTAAGTTTTCCAATACACTGTCACAGGAGATAAGTGATATCACACATACTCTCTGAGCATTTATTTAATGTAAATTCCAATTTTTACTTACCAATCCTGCACAGCATTGAAAGAGTCTTCATTTGTGATGTCATACATTAAAATGAAACCCATTGCACCCCGGTAGTAAGCTGTGGTAATTGTTCTGTACCTCTCCTGGCCTGCTGTGTCCTGAAACAAAAATAAACAAAAATTTTACACTGCACATAAATTGACAATTTTTTCTTTTTTTTTTGCTTTTACAGAAAGAAAGCTCTGGAAATAGGAGAACTCTGCATTGGATCATAATAGGAGGGACATATCAATTCTGTCATGAGGGGAGAGTGGAGAGCAGCAGAAAGCTTGGCCCCCTGTCAGTGCACATATCCTGGCTCATTAGTGATTCATTTTATTCACCCTGAGAGCTGGGTAAGAACTTTCTCTTCTGCTCCTGCCTTGTACCTTCCCAGTGGGACAGAAGTAAAATCTGGATAAAATTCTGGAACAAAACAGCATCTTAAGACCTTCATTAAAAAAACAGAATGGTTCCTGAAGCCAGGAATTATCTTGAACAAAAAGCAATGTCTAATTGTTCTTCTCTTGTGATTTTAATCTACAGGTGCTTATGTCAACAAGCATCAACACACCTTTCTGCTGACAGGGGGGAAAAAAAAAAAATAAAAAGACTGTGTGGCAGTGCTTTAAAAACAAGGATCATATCTGGCAATAAAAAAGAAATTTGCTATCAGTCCCTTACCTCAACCAGTTTTCTACCTAATCTTAGTTAACTGTCTTTAAAGCAATAAATGTAGAAATATAAATCTTATCTCCTACTCCTTGCTTTCCTTATTTCTATTCAACTTTTCAGGGTAGCAACTAGCTTTTAATATATTTAATGCAGTGTCTAGGATGGTGTTTAGTCTAGAGAAAAGAAGACTAGCAGCAAATCTCATTAATACTTTTATAATTATAATATAAATATTTCATGACAGGTGCCAAGAGGACGGTACCAGACTCTTTTCAGTGGTGCCCAATGATAGGATAAGGAACAATGGCCATAAACTAAAACACAAAAAGTACTACCTCAGCTTGAGGAGGAACTTTACACTGAGGGTGGCACTGGAACAGGCTGCCCAGCGAGGTTGTAGAGTCTCCTTCTCTGAAGACACTCAACACCCACTTGGATGTGCTCCTGTGTCACCTGCTCTGGGTGACTCCGCCTTGGCAGGCGTTTGGACGACATGATCTCAACGGGTCCTTTCCAACACTAAGTATTCTCTGATTCTGTGATACAACCACCTATGTCTGCACTAAAATTGAGACACAACAGCAATAACTGAAATACAGGAAATGCATAACTATTTCATGTTCTGGCATAGCTGTTAAATATTTTTAAGCCATTAATAGCATTACAGGAGACATACGTCAGTGCAATCCTGTAATTAATGGGTCATCTGGACATATTTAATTTTAACAAACTTTGAAAATTAATATAATTATTTGCAATTTTTTTAATAGCTAGGAAATAGATTAGTTTTTATCCTTAGATTACAGATAAATCTGTTTCATTTACCTTCCCACAAAGAAGACTAACTAGTAACAAACATACTTGATACGTTTTCTGAAATAGTTTCTAGGCTATAAGTACTTCCTTCAAACAAAAGGACTCTGAACTCCTGTGAATGTGGGCCTCCATTTCTGCATATGTATTCATTTCATAAACTAATAAAATAGGAAAAGGAGATTTTACTTGCAACAGAAGACACGTTTAGATTTTAAAAAAAGGAAAAATCCAAGGTTGTAATGGTTTAGGTTTGTCAATTTGTGTTTCCTGGCCAATGTACCAAACAATGTAGTGGGTTTTAGCACTGGCTAAAATTACTAGCGCACTTACTCATTTCCTGCTGTGAGATATGAATTAGGAGGAGGAAAATCAATGAGCAGGTGGATCAGGCTGCAAAGATAGAAGTGTCAAAGACAGATTGGCAACACAAGGGAGAGTTGTTCCTAGCTCGATGGGCCCATGACACCTCAGGTCATCAGAGTAGAGATGCCACCTATAAGTGGGCACGAGACCAAGGGGTGGATCTAACCATGGACAGTATTTCCCAGGTCATCCATGACTGTGAGACGTGTGCCACGATCAAGCAGGCCAAGCGGTTGAAGCCGCTATGGTATGGTGGGCGTTGGTCCAAATATAGATATGGGGAAGCCTGGCAGATTGACTACATCACACTGCCCCATTTCCAGAACAGCCTTATAAACAGCTGGGCTAGGGAACACGGCATTGAGTGGGTGTACCATATCCCTTACCATGCACCCGCTGCTGGAAAAGGGGAGAGCTACAATGGCCTGTTAAAACTACCTTGAAAGCATTGGGTGGGGGATCTTTCAAAAGTTGGGAGCAACATCTAGCAAAGGCCACCTGGATAGTTAACCAACCAACTGAGCATGCCCTGCCTAGTCTGAACCCCTGTAGATGGAGACAAAGTCCCAGTGGTACATGTCAGGGGTTTGCTAGGGAAGACAGTCCAGATCAATTCTACCTTGAGTACAGACAAACCATCTGTGGAGCTGACTGCTCAGGGACCAGCGTGCACATGGATGGAACAACATGATGTGCACCTCAGGGAGATCAGATTGTTGGGTGAGAACTATGTGTAAACATCACTGTTCACTGAATGTCACTGCCCTTGTCTGTATATCTGTCTATATGTGTATATATATGTATATGTTTACTGTATGTGTTTGTAGAGTTAGAATATTTATTAGTTTTGGTAATAAGTTGACAATATGGGGATAAGGTATGGAATGTCCTGGGGTGACTTTATGATGCCGGTATCTCCAATTGTCTGTTCTGCTTATGCTGGATGTTAAGTTCTGCATAGGACTGCTTCTGAGAGTGAAGGGGGGAAAGAAGCTGCAGTTTGTTTTTAGAAATGGCACTCACTGCCCTGCATGCTGCTCTGTTTGCTCAGTCTCTAGTCAGTCCCTCCCGGGCTGGAAAGTGCCAAAGCCCAGACCCTGTGGGACACAGGTGTGAGCTCCCAGGGCTTTTCTGGGTTTTCAGTCCAGAGCAGTTTTAAACAGATCTAAGGAAAAAAGAAAAAAACAGTTTGGGAAACTTCTCTGCCTCAGCTGGCTAAAAACTAACAAAAAGCAAAGGAGAGCTCTGTCCCTCTGTCTGTCCATGCTGCAGACAGAGCAGTGCAGAGCAGCATGTGGGGCAGTGAGTGCTGTGTCAGAACACAAACTGCAGCTTCTTCTTCCCCGTCTTTGCTCTCAGAACCAGTCTTGAAGGTGCAGAACTTAACATCCAGCATAAACAGAACAGACAGCTGGGGATACAAACATCATAAAGTCACACTGGAACAAAAGTCATTACTGAAACTAACAACATTAGGTGGAATATATGATTCCTGTTCATCCTGGATTACAGTAGCTGCTGCTTTGATGTAGTTTCAGTGATTTAGGATGGAAAGCTAAAGTGGTTAAACTATAGCAGGTCTCATATGAAGTTAGAAGTTATGAAGTTAGGTTACGTCCTTGTGGGAAAGGCCAGACAGACCTAAACTTTTTCTGCTTATGCAGAAACTGCATAAGCAGTTGAACTGGCTGAGCCTCTGCCAGCTGTGGTCTGGAACTTGGAAAACTGCTCCCAGATTTTCTGGTATGCCTCAATATTAAGATACTAAGATATTAAGATGTGCACTAAGCCTGTGCATCTTTCTTTGGTGAAAAAAAAAAAAAAGCCTTACTTTCTTTTTTTTTTTGTTTGTTGGTTTCATGTTTGGTTTTGTGGGGGGTTTTGTTGTTGGTTTCATTTATTTGATTTATTATTAGACAAAATATCTCCGAGAGACAGAAGCAAAATATGGCCCACAGCAAGCATTCAGCCTGTACAGAAGAGAAAGGATTTTCAAACAAATTTTATCAGTCTATCTCCTTGGTTTTTAGTCAAAGACATGCTTGATTAGTATGTATCATAGTATGACAAGCAGGAGGCCACTCTTACTGAAGACAATCTTATTTTGCTCTGAGGGGTTTCCACTGGAGCCCACCTGCAGATAAGAGTGAAAAGCCCTAGCAATAAAGCCATTAGTCAATGATGCTTTCTGTCCAAGACACCAACTATTTTCTGTGCAGTGTAAAGCCACATAGGGTAGGCTTAGGAACTCTCTATTACAAAAATAAAGAATGAAAATAAAAAATAAGTTTAAAGGATCAAAAATCAAAATGAAAGTTCTTAAATAATTTTACACAAAAGAGCAGGAAACTGCAGATAAAGATCCAAACACAGATTTTGGGACAGAAAATGTTTGTCTAGACCCAAGCAATGGATTTGTGTCAGTCAGGGAAGGAACCAGGTACTTGGAGGTGTTCTCAAATTCTTATTCATAATTCTAAAGTCATAGCTAATGCTATGCTAATAGGATGATAAAGAAAAGATTTTCTAAAGTGATATTTCAGTATACATGACATAGACTGATGACCATTTCATTAGTTCCAAATATAGATAATCACATTCCTCTTGGTATTATTTTATAATTACTTGCTATGAGGAATCAATTAAAAATTTAATAGGCCTAATGCAAAAGTTATGCAGTAAATTGTTTATGATTATGTAAGAAATTAACCCAAATATAAATAACCAATATGTCAAAACTTCTGTGTTCCACACATTCATAAGCATGTTCTTTGTATGCAGACAAGAATATCTTCATAAGTGCCCTAATAGGTCCTTTCATGTGGCCATTAAGGAACTTAAATACCTTTTGACAGGAGAGATAGCACACTGGTAAAATCAGCTACTTTAATATTAAATATTATATTTTATTACACTCATTTTGTTTATTTGAAATGGATAATACAACAGTGTACATGGTCTTTCTGTTTATTAGCTTTTATTCCTATGGAAGAACTAAGCAGAAAATCACTGATTTCCATATTTTATCATATTTATAGTTGTACATCACTATGATTGTATCCTCAGGTACTGTTACATACTTGTACTGGAAGTAAACCTTTTCCAGTTCAGCTAGGGCTACTGTCTGCTGCTATGTTATCTTAGTCTACTTGTTAAGACCACAGAATTAATCTGTCTTCTTAGATTTAAATTCTAAAATATATGTGTATTTGTATTGCCTGATGTTTATTTCTAAGCAAACTAAACAAAATAAGGCTGAAGAATAATAAATTTTGGCCTATTACTGACTGGCATTTTAAGCAAGGCAGTTCATTTTTATCTTTGCTGAACAGAAAACAAGACACATAGATCATGCTGGCGACTTCCTCATTCAAGTAGCTAATGTCTGGTAAGAGCAGATGATTTTTCATTAAACGAGTGGAAATGCACATGGGAATGAATGAGGGTGAGGGAATGCTTTATGAAAACTACCACACACAAAAGACAAAAAGAGATATAAAACTACCACACACAAAAATCTCAGCATCTACAAGAAGTATTTACAAATATTACGTTCGCTTGCATAAATTCAATTTTTAATACAGCTACGCTATTCCATCAGCTTCTGGTTAGCTGATCCTATTTTTGTGAATCTTTTTTAGTAGACATCAGATTTTAATTATTAAATGACATTATTATATGGTTTAGTGGTCACTGTACTTTAGAAATTGTCCATTTTCTGAGCACTGTAC